GCCTCCTTCAGGAGGGAAACATCATCCATCACCAGCTGCAACAGAGCAGGAGCCTGGGCGGTTGTCGCCTGGAAGACCCGTCGGTTCCTTTCCTTCCATATGATCCAGGCAACGTGTATGGCAAATGTTACTTGCTCTTGCCTTGCCTCTCTTGCAGTTCCTGTATTGATCTTACGCCACCAGGATCGAATAGATGTTGCTCCCAGAGCAATGTTAGCGACGCGCTGCTGTGTGCTCCTGGCGGCCACCCAGAGCTCCTTGGCAAACGGGCAATGGAGGAGCAGATGCACAGCCGCCTCCAGAGCCTGATTGCATAGAGGGCACACTGGGCTGTGCGGCCATCCCCTGCACCCAAGTCTGTCGGCCGTCCAATTTCTGTCCTGCAGTAGCAGCCAGGTGTAGAAATTGACTTTCTGCTTAGCTTTACTCCTCCAAACCATGCCAAGGTGGGGCTGCTCTATCCGGCCGATGAACTGTCCTCCAAACCATGCCAGGGTGGGGCGGCTTTATCCGGCTGATGAACTGGTCATCATAAGCTGACTTGGCCAAGTAACAACCATTGCTGGACAGCTTCCATGAGATTTTATCCCTCTCAGTAGTTGAATGGATCGCTTGCACCTTCTCCCACAACCTGGTGAATTGGTGAATTTGGTTCTCAGTAGACATCCGTTGAATTCCATGCATCCACCTTTCCTCAGTCAGAGCTTCCCTAACATTCAGGTTTTTCCTCCAAGCTAAAGGGAAACACGTCCGGTGCAATTCCTTTGGGCAACTCCCCATCAAGATCGAGCCATCTATTGTGCCAGAAGCCAGTGATCTGCCCATTGCCAACAGAGATGGAGGTAGAAGCACCGAAGAGTTTTTTGTCCGTTCAATCACACGGTACCGGCGTTCCTTTCCAAGGCCTTTCCATATCATCCCACTCATACCAAAGCCACCTCAGTCTTAGCGATCTTCCGAATGCCTCAATGCTCTTGATTTTCAGCCCGCCAAACATTTTTGGCATGCAACATTGCTTTCAGTTCACCATGCATTTCCCTCCATTGGCCTCTTCCTCTCCAGCCCAAAGGAAACTCGGCCTTAACTTGTCCAGCATTTTGGAGGCCCATTCATCCGCAGCAAAGCACGTCAGATAATAAGTTGCAATAGCAGTTAGGACCGAGTTAACCAAAGCAAGCTTGCCTGGCCTGTTAAGCATCTTCCCCTTCCATGGCTTAATCCTTGATCTTGCCTTGTCAAGGATGGGCTGCATCTCGACTCTCCTAGGCTTCCTCGTGCTTAGAGGCAGACCTAGGTACCGGCATGGCAAAACACCTTCAGCGCCCCCAAAATCCATCAAAGGTTTGTGAATGTGCAGCATCATTACAACTAATTTTGTATGCCATTCTTAAAACGAAAGCTGTTGTAAAACCCTCATAGTCTGATTAGTTCTTTTCTTGTCACTTGTACGCATGATTGGTGTGTATATTACTTTCCACATTTGATACATAAAGTGCATCGAATTTAATCCGAAGATAGCTTGAATGCTAAAAACAGTATTGTCTGAAAGCCCTGTCGTCCAGGTCAAATTGGGGCAGTCAGCTTAATTAGTCAAATTCCCCCCTTCTGTACATTTGTTCTTACTCTGTATCTGTAGTTAGTTTTTATTGACATTCGTTTACTAACCTGCTCGCCGCTCTGTAATTTGGTAAATTTGTTGATTTTCTACTAACTGCATTTTGGGGAGAATCATATACGTTCATGTAATGTATTTAGAGACACAAGGATTTTGGGTGTGTGTGGTTTGACCCCAAGCTTGCCCTACAAGTTTTTCCTCCTCTTGTTGCTTATGTCAGAATATTCAGTTCACTCAAACGAAAAACATCATCGAGTTGGCAGCAAGTTAGGAAAATCATTTAAGATTCGAAAAATCTTATCTTGATTTTTTTAATCCAATTATGCACATGTTAGTTGGCACACACAACACAAAGCACATTATTTATACAGTTTTGCTAAAGCACATCTAGATGTGCCACAAGTATTGCACATCTAACTCATATGTCATTGATCTTACATGGCGATTCATGTGGGTATTTTCTTTTTCCTTTTTTCTTTTCTTTTTTATGCTTGATTGTGTCACTTAGATGTGCAATAACTAGGACACATTAACCCTTATTTATATGAAACAAGTGCATCAACTTTACCCTGTGTCCTATGCCTATATGCATGGTTCTCGTGGCTCATTTTGTCGAGAGTGATACATTCATGTGTCAGGGCATCTTTCCATGGATAAACCTCTGTAGGAGGCATCTTTTCCAAGAGATGGTACTGCCAGGTTTTTTGTATACTCACAAAATAATGTGTCTTTTGATTGAACTAATTAGATTGTTTAAAAAAATAAAATTTACTTGACAAAATCGCAATTATTTATAACTACCTCAGAAATGCACTGATTGTTAGCCCATCAATTATGATATGAGATTGTGGCAAGAAAGAGGAAAATGAGATAGTGTATAGTGTACTGGTTGGGCCAATTGTGTTCTAGTTTACTTATACCTGGTCCACTACTTCAAATCTGAAGCTAATAGTCGAATACAACAAAACGTATTGTTGATTGCCTTCTTTATCATGGAGAAATGTGAATACGCGAGTCTCTTGCAGGCCACCAATTGGCGTAATTAATCGAAATAAATAAGTTTGTGCTCACCACATGATTATTTTCTATCGTGAAATAATGGCAAATCCATGCTTGGTGAATGTATCAAAACTATGCTTTCCGGAAACCTCTAGAAGGTGTCAAAAGGATTATGACAGCCTACATCTTTAATTGCTTTCCATATTAGTATGTACCAATCATGCTTGTCCTGCAGTTGTGCCGTCTTCTCGTCTTTTGCTATCAAGGTATATATATACTGTTTTCTTTGCCAAGGTTTGTGCGAATCAACAAGAGAATTTCTTAGCTTCTTAAGAAATCTATATTGCACTGGTATTGACAGGTTTGTTTGATTATTTTTCTCACTTACATGTCAATCTAGCTATGCAGTAAATCTGTGTTTGCATAAGTCTAGTCATTTTGTTCGGTACAAGCTATTTAGACCTTTCTGATCCCGCAATTGCTATTCTCTAAATTCTAGACCTTAATTAAATTTCAATACTGTTATGACCGATATATTAGAGGCTTAGGGCATGTACAAAGGAAGCATCACCTAACTGACGCCTCACCTCTTCCACCTAGATAAACTTGAATCAAGCTCTGGTGTGTGCCACGGTCATCCAATGGAGGCTACTTTCTTTATGTCAGCACTTTACTTTTTCTTCCACCCACTTTTCAACACATGCAAACGGTGGTACTGAACCGAGCGGAGCTACGAAACTGACATTGCGTCGCCCGAGCGGCTGCCTCAGCGCTTTTGTCAGGGAGGAGGCTAGCTCTTCTGCAGGATCCCGTCTCTCTCTACAAGCAGCAGGTTCAGCCGAGCTGGCATTTGGCAGGCCGATGTGGCGCATGGGGCACCCGTCCAGCCTGGCCCGTTGGCCATGCCCTTATCCCAGGTAGTTGTGGCCCAGTTTATCTTTTCATTATTAGCGGCTTAGCCCAATTATCTTGTTAGGAGGATTATATAAACTCGTGTAAGAACCCGTTTTGGGATTAAGTAAGAAGCAATCATATTTGCTCGGCTTCCTTAGGGAGCCGGGAGACCTAACCCTAGCTGCCGCCCCCGCTCTTTCTCTCTCTCGCGCGCACGCAACAATGGCGCCCCAGCACCGCGACCACGCCTTCCTCCACGCCATCCCTCCTTCCACCCCTACAATCTGAGACCACGCCCTAGTAGGGATCTGATTCCTACCAATTTGGTATCAGATAGCTTTAGTGCGATCATGTCCTCGCCGCTGCCCACCCCGACCCTACCGCTGCCGACCGCGACGACCGCCCCGATGGCCACCACAGCCAGCGCCCCGCTCTTGCCGGTGCCGGTCACCTCCGCCGCGCCCGTCCCCGCCGTCTTCACCCCGGAGGAGATGACGTCGGCCATCCGGGATCTCACCCAGGCGGTCACGGGCATCTACACGTTCCTCGCGAGATCCTATAGGCCGCAGCCGCCTGTGCCCTTCGCCACTGCCCCGTCGCCGCAGCAGTCGCCATCCTCGGCGACCCCCGTCGCCGCCGCCGCCATGCAGCAGCTGTCGTGGCAGCCGCCACCAGTGATGAACCCCGACGCCTCCACAATGCAGCAGGGGCAACAGCTGCAGCCGCCGCCACCGACAATCGCTGCCCTGGGCATCCCGACGACGGGCCCGGCGGTGCCCATCCACCAGGTTCGGTTTCCCCCGTCGCCTTCTCTGTTACCGGCCTGGCTCGCTGGGTCCCTTGAGCCAGTCTACACGACGGCCTCAGTTGGGCCGCACATGCTGCCCCCGTCGGTGACGCACTCGGCCATGCAGTTTGGCGGGTCCTCGGGCTTCGCCGAGCCCTTCGCCAGCGTCGACGGGCCCCTGTTCCAGGGTGGTACCCTGATGCCCGCCTACTCGGCCACGTCATCCTCGCTGCTCCGTGCTGACGAGGCGCACCCGCCCGTCGTCCACGTCCAGACGCCGTCGAGATTCTCCAAGCTGGAGTTCGCGACCTACGACGGCACCGTCGACCCCCTGAATTGGCTCAACCAATGCGACCAATTTTTTAGGAGACATCACACGCTCGCATCCGACCGCAACTGGATCACCTCATATCATCTCCGAGGAGCCGCGCAGACGTGGTACTACGCCCTTGAACAGGACGAGGGCGGCATGCCACCATGGGAGCGCTTCCGCGATTTGTGCCTCTTGCACTTTGGTCCGCCTATATGCGGGAGCCGTCTGGCGGAGCTTGGGCGTCTTTCGTTCCTCACCTTGGTGCAAGACTTCGCCGGGCGCTTCCAGGCACTGGCGTGCCACGCCTTTGGTGTTTCGGCTCGTCAGCGGGCTGAGCTCTTCGTCGGCGGCCTACCGGACCATCCAGCAGGCCACAGGACCTCCAGAAGGCCATGTACTACGCCCGCCCGTTCGAGCATCGCGCGGTGGCCATCCAGCAGGCACCACTGCCCCGGGCCACTGGGCCTCCACCCTGGCTGGAAGTTCCCGCGCAGGGTCGGCCTGTCCAGGCTTCCGCAGTGCCCCCCGCCGCAGCTGCGGCACGCCCGTTCTGCCGGCTCACCCTGGCCGAGCAACTCGAGCGTCGCCGCCAAGGGTTGTGCTTCAACTGCGACGAACCCTACGTACCGGGCCACGTCTGCCCACAACTCTTCTATCTGGAGGCTGCAAACTACATTGAGGAGGACCCCGCCGCCGCCGGGCTCGGCGACCAGCCCGCCCCAGTTGACACGGAGGTGTTTGGCGACCGTTGATCTTCCCCGCCTTCCAGCTCGAGGACGAGCTGTTTGTGCAGGCGGGGAGAGATGTTATGACCGACATATTAGGGGCTTATCCCAGTTAGTTGTGGCCCAGTTTATCTTATCGTTATTAGGGGCTTAGCCCAAATATCTTATTAGGAGGATTATATAAACTTGTGTAAGGACCCGTTTTGGGATTAAGCAAGAAGCAATCATATTTGCTCGGCTTCCTTAGGGAGCCGGGGACCTAACCCTAGCCGCCGCCCTTGTTCTCTCTCTCTCGCGCGCGCGCAACGACGGCGCCCCAGCGTCGGCGACCACGCCTTCCTCCACGCCATCCCTCCTTCCACCCCTACAATCCTACCAAATACAGTGTAAGCTGCTGTTGTTTTTCCAATCAGGGCGTCATAAATCTGATAAACAATCATCGGCAACGCCACGAGGTACAGAAATTGATGCACCAAAGCATGGTTGTCACGGTCTGATAGGTAGTAGGATTCTTCTTAGGTTGGCACATTAGGTTGTAGGAAGAAGGTGACCCAAAGATCTGGATCAATATTGAATCCAGATGTTGCTCTTAGTATTGAAAATAATCGATCGAAACGGTTCCATGGGATCTACTGACTACTAAATGAATTGGGAAGTTAGGGTTTTGTCAACCTCGTGTGAACGATGTCATCTCTGAAGGGGATACGAGTGCGGATGGTGATATCAAAAAATATTCATCTTGATATTTATGCACAAATTATCTTTATATACCATGAGAAATAATTTGAATGGTTATTCATGATTCAGAATTTGTATCCATGTCTGCTCTGTATACTCATGTCTGCTGCTGGTATTCGTATCTCTTTTTTTTTTAATAAACCTATTCATCCATCTTTTGATAATGGATATGATGTGAATATGATTTTTCTATTATCCAGCTGCATTACATCCGTTCTCACCCTTCGCACCATCTGGGTTTCTTTTTCTTTGTTCGGAACCATGTAGTGGGCATATTCAACTTAGCTGTCCACTCTCTAGCTATGTGTGCTTTACGGAGAACCTGGCTTGCGTCTGCAGTTAGGAATCCCCATTGCCACTATCGGTTGCTTGTACAATCTAATCTCTTTGTATGTTATAATCTTATACATAGTTCAGTGCCTATCATATAATCAGAACTCTTATTGCTGAGTGTAATTTAATTTAGATGTATGTTTAGGAACACACCTATGAGGTCATTCTCTTAGGGGCACCAGAAATAAGATGTAACAGAAGAGAAGATGCTAAATATGTGGTGACTTAGAATGGCTGCTAAATTGTAGCCAGATTAGTTTGTTAGTTTTTTCTTGTGCATTTTGGTTTTGCATGTGTATTTTCAATAATTTAACTATGCAATTATCTGCTCTGGTGATGTTACTAAGAACTTATCAGTTTCTGAACTACTTCCTCCGTTCCAAATTACTCGTCGCAGAAATGAATGTATCTAGAACTAAAATACATCTAGATACATCCATACCTGCGACAAGTAATTCGGAACGGAGGGAGTAGCAGATAAGTATCTTCATAAAGATATTGGGAGGATCGTAATAAAGAAATCTATCCAGCGTATGAAACTGGTCCTAAAGGACCGCTAATGATCAAATTCATCTAAAGACACCGCACAAAGTTCTATTTTGTGACCTAGGAGGCTAATGTTACTGTCTTTAAGATTGTTTTACTTTAAGATCGAGTTGATTAACAGTTTCCATTATTTTTTTCAGTGCAAGAAAGACCATAGGTTCTTGGACACAAGCAAGATCAAGCAGTCGACATGGAACCGTCTTCACAACCTCAGCCTGCAACGGGTGATGTCGTTGCTGGTGGATCACAAGTGTATCCTGCCTCATCCTATCCGCCTGCAGCAACAATAGCCATAGCTCCTGGTATCATTCCTGCCGGTTCACAGCCAGCACCACCATTCCCTGCCAATTCAGCCCAGCTCAATGCTCAAAACCAGCTTATCTACGAGCAAGCGCAGCAATTTCACCAGCAGCTCCAGCAGCAGCAGCAGAGGCAGCTGCAGCAGTTCTGGGCCGAACGACTGTCGGAGGTTGATCAGGCCACCGACTTCAAGAACCACACCTTGCCGCTCGCCAGGATAAAGAAGATCATGAAGGCCGACGAGGACGTCCGCATGATCTCAGCCGAGGCCCCAGTGGTCTTTGCAAAAGCATGCGAGATATTCATACTGGAGTTGACACTGAGGTCGTGGATGCACACTGAGGAGAACAAGCGCCGGACCTTGCAGAAGAATGACATTGCCGCCGCCATCACCAGGACCGACGTCTACGACTTCCTGGTGGACATAATCCCCAGGGATGAGATGAGGGAGGAGGGAGTTGGGCTTCCTAGGGCCGGGCAGCTGCCGCTCTTGGGGGCTCCAGCTGACGCGTCGTACCCCTACTACTATCCGCAGCAGGTGCCAGGTGCGGTGATGGGGTACGGTGGCCACCAGGGCCATCTGCCGTATGTGTGGCAAGATCCTCAGGAGCAGCAACAGCAGCAGGGGCATCCTGGGGAGCAGCAGCAATCTGAAAGCGGCTGACAGCATTGTGGGCAACCACCAGATTCAGTATCCTCAGCTTAGCCAGGACATCCAAAGTTCCAAACTAATTTTCAGGTTTCGCAATAGATTATATGATGGTTTCTTTTGTCTGTCGATACGGGAGAGATTTACTAGTTACTTCATGGAATTTTTGTTTGTCGTGGTGGTGTCGTTACAAAAAGGTTATATGATTAGAGACTAATTTGTTGAAATTTTACCATAGCGTGTCCGTTCCGTTATTCGAAACTAAAATAGCTGGCATATGGTCTTTTTGGCATGCATGCAACATTTTGCGGTTCCTATCGTTTTGTACTGGATTTTTTTAAACGGAAGCAAAAGATTTACCTCATCCATTAAATAAGGGAGAATAGAGCGGTAATTGCCTTTGGCTCCTAGGTGCATATGCACCCATTGTTGAAATACACATTTCGAAAAGTTGAAAAATTCAGAACAAAAATCCCGCGTGTATATCCGGACATTTTATGTGTGTGCACAAGGTTTCAGTGAAAAACGACGTTTTTTGTTCCTTGTGTAAAAAAGACAATTTCTGATGCTTCATTCTAACTATTCACGAGGCATTTCTTTATCTTTTTTACACAAGCCACAAAAAACGTCGTTTTCCACTGAAACCTTGTGAACGCACATAAAATGTCCGGATATACATGTGGAATTTTTGTTCCGAATTTTTCAACTTTTCGAAATGTGTATTTCGACAATAGGTGCATATGCACCTAGGAGCCAAAACGCCGCTCTCAGAATAGAGTTTTTAGAGTGTTACAATGCCCGGACAAAAAGAAACGGCATGCCAATTACTCACCCAGGCCCTAGTTTTTTTTTTCACCCGCGGTAACCCAAAGCTTAGCCTCGTCAACGATTGCTTTTAGGAGGATTGGCGGCAGCGCACTCTTGTGGCAGAAGACATGGGCGTTTCTCTCGTTCCAAATTGTTCAGGAGACGAACATTGTGAGAGAGGCCAAGGCTCGTCTATTGGGGTTATAAATATCGGTCCGCTTGTCCCACCACTCCATAACAGACCCCTCCAGGTGCCACGAGGTGGTGTCAATATGCAAAAGACCAAATTCCTGGATGACCAAATTCCATAGCCGAATGGTGAAGTGACACTTGTAGAAGAGGTGAGCGCCTGACTTGTCGTCCCTTTTACAAAGAGGACAAAGACCGCAGTTTGCCCAACCGTGCTTCTCCAAGCTGTCGCCACTCCAAATCCAGTTTTGCAAAGCCAACCAAGCAAAGAGTTTGACTTTAGGCGGGGCCCAACCTTTCCAAATCATGAGGTCTATGTGTGAAGACGTCGATCCAAGGAATTGGGCCCTATATGTTGTGGCCGCCGAATAGTTCCTGTCGTTGGAGTGCTTCCAAATAATGTCGTCCTCCGCCTGATCATTGAGGTGGAAATCATCCACAAGCATCCAAAGGGTGAAGAATTGGCATATGTGGGCAGCGGAGACGACAAAGTCATGGCCAATCTTAAAGATCCAAGCATTTCCATTGAGAGCCTTCCTAACTTTCCATTTTTTTTCTCTTGGAGGCCTCAAAGATTAGAGGGGCAATGTCCTTAGGCTTTCGTCCAAGAAGCCACGGAGAATCCCAAAAAGGCGTTTTGGCACCATTGCCAACGGTGATGATCGTTGAGGTGTAAAAGAAATCAAGGTCCTCCTCCGTGCAAGGGTTGCCAAGGCCCACCCAGAGCTTGCATGGGTCTTTCCATTCATTCCATGGTCATCTTAACCGCAAAGCATGGGCAAACTTGTTGGTGTTGAGAACCCCAAGACCTCCATATTCCTTAGGGCGATAGGCCATCTCCCAGTTGACATTACATTTGGCCTCGGTCGTTTTATCAGAGCCAGACCAAAAGAATGCCCTCTCGAGTTTGTTAATGTTATGCAGGGAGCTCGGAGGCATGATGAGAGGTGTGATGGCGTACACCGCTTGGGAGGTGATGACAGATTTGATAAGGGTCGTGTGCCCGATGGTGGTGATGTTTTGCCCCTCCCAAGTGACCAACTTGCCCGCCGCCGTGTCCTTAAGGCAGTGGCGGACCCACCCTGGGATTTGGTTCGACCCATATATATACATAGCCCATAAGAGATAAGTGGATGGGCCGGAAGAAAAGAATAGAAAAGCCCAGCCAACACAGCGTCGACTCGTCGCACAACCTCCCGTCCCCAATTCCCCTCGCGACTGCTCTACGCTCCCGCTCATCTCGCCGCCCTGACTTGCCGCCTGGTTCCGTGCCTCGCTGGCGACTCTGTTCGCCCCGCACCTGCCCGGTGCGACCGCGCCCAGCCGAAAGCCCGCAGCCACCCGGTCCGCACTCGGCAGTCTCCGCTCAGCAGCCGGCGTTCTGCAGCGGCAGCAAGTCTGCAGCCAGCCGGCCAGCAATTCTTGCGGTACCTTCGATGAGATTTCTGCCCATCTCCCTATTTTTTGTCTACTCTTACTCATTGCTCGTCGTGCTGCTACCTGATAGAACAGCTCATTACGAGCTTAGGCTTGTTGTGCTCCTTTGTAAATTGTAATGTAGTACTGTGCTGAATTCTGTCCAGGAATGTTACTACTTACTGCTGAACAGTTTTAGTTTGGGTCAGATTTCTAATCTATGTGGCATCTTGAGCTGTAATTTCCAGGAATTTTACTAAGTACTACCGAATTGTTTCAGTTTGGGTCAAACAATTAATAAATTGTTCTCATCTTTTTTGAATCAGTGCATGTCATTGTCACATTGAAGAACAAAATGTGAACCACCATCACAGGATTACATACATGTATCAAATGTGGAAGAATGAACACATTCAGATAGTCTTCTTTGAACTTTTCAAGGTACGTAGGCTTTTCTTATGCAAAATTAAGACTTATCTGAGAAAAAAATGATCAATTTATATTTTGCTATTGGTAAATTAGTTAGTACATTGGCATGCCATATTTGTTGTAAAAAAAATTATTAGGTTGGACCACCCTGCTTCAAAATCCTAGATCCGCCATTGCCTTAAGGTATTGAAAGTCCACCCTCTAGAGCTGCCACACCAAGAGGGGGAGTCACAAGTATTTCATTGGAAATGAGGTTGTGGTCACCGGCACGCACCAAGAATATGTTCCAAGTCAATGAGATTGCACCGAGTTGGCACAACGAAGCTCTTATGGAAGTTGGTACAGAGGCCCGTGACGTCGCCGAAAGCTCTTAAGATGGTTGAGAGGCTGTCAATATCTCGCTTGATAGGAGCCACGAAAACTGCAACATCATCCACATATAAGGATGTTCTCAACATGGCTCCCCGCCCACGAATCCTATGGAGGAGTCCCTTTCGAGTTGCGAGGTCCAGAATTTGGTGAAGAGGATCAATGGTAAGGACAAAGAGCAGCGGGGAGAGGGGGCCCCCTTGCCGAAAGCCAT